GCCCCCGGACCCCGCCCGCCCCTGAACTCTCTTCAATCGTAGCAGTTTTTCGGGTTATACATTTCTATTTTATTCTTTTCTCTTTCTACAAAGAGATCTCATGACTGACTCGAAGCTTGAGTAAACTTAAGCAGCAGCAGCAGCAGTAGAAGCAGTAGCCAAGAGGTTAGAGTTTGGACACCGTCCGACAAATTCAATTGGTTCTTCTTGAAAGTACCCTTGATTATAACTGGTTCACCGTTGGGAGAAGAAAACTCGGCGTAAAAGGGGGATGAGATGGTGGTACTGGTGCTAGTGTTAGTAGTGATGGTGATGCTGGTGGTGGAATGGTGGTAGTGGTGGTAACTTCGAAAAGGGAAGTTAGGGAAGAGGTCAGAGGGGGTGTATGGGGGTGGTGGACGCTTGCTTGGACGCTTGGCGGAAAGACGAGCGATGATATTTACTCGCTTTCCAAAGCTTGGCACGTTCTCTCGTAAATTACGGCACCAGATAGAGAGAGAGTGAGAGAGAGAGAGAGGGAGGGTGTGGGAAGGTGGTAGGGGGTAGGGGGTTACGTTGGTACGCCTTTTTCCGCGGCATGAGTGTTCTCGATTTTCCGCATTGTACCTCGACGCGAGAAGAATTTCACCGAAGCAACGAAGTTATTAAAGTCTGCGATTTCTCTCTTTTCTCTTTCATCCCAGTCCTTCTCCCCCCACCTCCACCCAACCCCACTCCATCAAACTAACCACCACTCACCCCTCTTCTATACACGCATACACACACTTTCAACTCACCCTTAACCTCTTCTTTCTCATCTATACTCTTCTTCTCCTACCTCTTTCTTATTTTCTTATTTTACTTTTACTTCTTCTACTTCTACTTCTACTTCTTCTACTTCTTCTACTTTTATTATACTTTACGTTTCTTTACATTCTTTCTCTTTGAAAATTGTAAGTTCGATGTGCTGTTCGGAAGACTTCGGTTAGATTCTTTACACCATCCCCCCCCCCCGTTCCCCGTTTTTCATCGTCATCGTCGTTTTTAACAGTTTAAACCTTTTTTCTTTTCATTTTTTTATTTAGTATGATAGATGTATACTCTCTCCTGCCATTCTTTTACTTTCACCTTATCTTTCCCATATTACTTTTTAATGGTTGAGTATGAGAAATAAAATATAATATTATGGTAAAAAGAAAAGTCATGGAAGTTATAATTTCTTATTAGATTGAAACACCTAACGAGGAATATTCTCTCTCTCTTTGAAAAATTATTCGAAATTTGATCTAGATATGAAATCATTTTTATTAATACGAATATAATAAATATTTAATATATTATTTAATTTATTAGTAAATATTTATTATATTATTATATTATTATANCTTCTCCTAACAGTAGTGAGGTATTTAATGTTACACCAATTGAGAGACATGTATAGAAATTTGATTATTGTTAATATTTATTATATTATTATATTATTATATTATTATTCTATATAATAAATTATTATAGAAATTATAAAATACGATTATTACTATCTAAAGTATAATTACATTTTTTTCTTATATCTGTCGATCATTCGTACAATCGTCTGAAATATTAATCATACGAATAAACGATAATGTGTGAATACAAACAAACAAACAAAATCGAAAAAGAAACGAAAATTTAATTAAATAGAAATGAATATAAGCTGATGAACGTCTGAGAAAAATGAAAAACGTATGAAACGTTTGAGAATATTCAACGAATAATCAAAATAAAAAAGA